ATGAGTCAAAGCATTGAGCACAGTGTTAACAATGTAGAAGAAAAAGAGCAGAAGGAGGATGAGGAGGAGGGAATCTGGCTGCATGAACTGGTCTGTGCTGCATTAGTGGGACTGTCCGTTGCCTACACATTGAAGTGCTCTAACATTAGCCTCTGTCTGAACGGCAGCACACTGGTTGAGTCACGGCAGGGGGAGGATTGATAGCTTAGAACAAACACTCTTGCAAGAAACACTGTGAATATTTTGGCTTTCCTTCCTGAAAAAAATAGCTTTGAAATGTAATTTTGAAAACTACAAATGTCTTTTATTGTGCTGTGCAATGACATGGCTGATATACAGCAATAAAAATGAGAAATTAATGTTTGTTTTTAGTAAGCACGAGGTCATCTTTTGTGAACTTACAGGACCCCAATACAGACAGGAAGTAGGCAGGATCATAAAGGAAGTGATGAGGAACAGAGGAAGGAAAGGAGTCTAAAGATAAAATAAAAAATCTCTGGAGCTCAGAAATCTGACAGCAGAGAGCTTGAACACCTGATGCTTAGTGGACGCAGGAACAAGTGGGTGTAAGAAACAGCTGCGTGGAGAGCACAACTGGAGGAGCTGAGGGAAGATGACTAATTGACACAGAAAAACTCTTAGCTTAACTAAGCATGGGGAGCCAGTGTTATGCTCAAAAAATAAAATCAATAAAATACCAAAAAAATAAGAAAAAACATGTAACACAAAATTGAACAGTAAACTCAAACACTTTAGGATCCTCAAATACCGTTTACTGTTTCCAATTTATACCAATATTTTTAAAAGAAATTAACCATTTGTACAGAATTTCTGGCTGTGCACTGCAGGTAAGCTGGTTGAAAAAAGGTTCATTCCGACGTGTTTATTTGGAAAATTTTCTGTTCAAGAACAAACATGGACAGAGGAAACTAAAGGAATGTCCCGCATCACTCTTTTGAAGGTCACAGCATTTAAATAGGCTAAGCTACAAGCAGCATGTCTGTCTAGCAGCTGATTCTACAATCTATGAGCAGAGAGGCTGCCTAATTAACCAGCTAATTAAAGTTTGTTTGACCAGAAGAAGTCTTTATTGCAGCAAATATCTTTTATGACAATGTAAATATAACTACCTTTATTGTATTGGAAAAAGCAAAGTCTTGCGTTATTTTAAGAAAATTCAGGGAATAAAACAAATCCGATCATATTATGTTTTCTTTCATCACTACATTGAAACCAAGTTATCTTTATCCATTGTTATCATACGAATGCCATACTGCTCTGTACCTAACGTCCAGCTCTCTTTTCTCTTGTATTTTCCACTCCTAACCTTAGTCTTAATGGATATGACCTTCCCATTGCCAATTTTATGCACGCAATCAGTCCCAGCCTGCAGCAACGTGTCACGTCAATACGTTCTGCAGCCTCTCTCCAGTCACAAATAGGTGGCAGAGAGACAATACGGCACAGCAAAGTTTGCTTTGTCAGAATTCATTCAGTCACAACTGGGAACTGTTTGCTGCGGTGCACTATTGACCTCATAGTTTTATTGTCACTTTTACATGTGCAGCCAACCGTCACAGCTCAAAAATGCAAGTGTTTCTGCTCAGGGGAGAAGTTGAGGGGGTTAAAAGGAAAAGAAAAAAGTTTGGCGTGAATTGATTTTTCCGTACTAGGGGACAAGCCAGAGTCGAGCACAAACACAAACACGCCACCGCTGCCGGACGACGGCCGTCCACCTTATTGATCCTCTCTGCCAGCAACAACAGAGTCATTTGCCATCGGGGATTTGTAACAGCCATTACGTACCGACCCAGCTGGGGGCGGGAGGGAAGAGGGTGAGGAGCGGCACTGTCCTGTTTTTTACTCCAACCCAGATCCATAAAACAAAGGACTAGCTTTGACCTACCACTAATTACTCTGACCCTTTCATTATTGCCTCTCTCTCTCTCTCACGTCTCCAAGAAGAAGAAAAAAAAAATACTGAACATCCTCTTTAACATCTCAGTCATCATAACACATGCTCATATTTTTTTTTCTCAATTGATGATGCGAGTTGTGGGAAAAAGCACGGCTCGGACTTTGCTTCAGTTCTTGCCAAAATAAGATATGTGTCAGATCCTCATCACAACATCCATCGGAAACATCAACACCTGCCAAGAAAAGCAGGCCATTATGCAATCGCGCCTGCTACATATGTAACCGTGTAGCTTGGATGCTATTTGGAGTCACCGGCTGACCTGGCTGGTCTGCATAATGAGCCACTCAATGTTCTTTGTCAACTAGTGAGTATTACCCTCAGCTTGCGTCAGCTTATCACGCTGAAATTAATCCTTCTGATTATCACAGTTTTCCCTCTGATCCCTTAAAAAGGAAAATCCATAAGCCTCCTTCCAAACACAATGGAGTTTGGATTTAGTCTGTGTTAATTCGGGGGTGTGTAGGGGGAACGTCGTGTTCCCCACCAGATCCGAACGATCCCAGCAGGTAACATGCGTGTCTTCCTCAGCGCCTCCTGCTGAAGTGCCCTTGAGCTGAGCACTGACCCAACAGCTGCTTCGGTGTAATTACTCAGCTGCCGACGGAGCAAGGTTGCAGTGGAACACGGGCGGCTTCATGGCGTGAGACTGTGAAAGTGTGTCAACCTGCCTGTGGCAGCGATTGCTCCCCTCCGGCTGCTGCTGCTGCTGCTGCACGCCAGACTCCGCTAAAATGCAGTTTGCGAGCACCGCCACCGCTTACCGACAATACGACAGCAGTCCACCTACAGGACAGCCGACGGGGGGGAGGGAGGGGGGTTCTGAATGTGGGGAGGCGCCACTGCGTTCAAATTTCCCTTTCCTTTTAGCAGGCTCGTTCTCACTTCATTAGCTTTCGCAGTCATCTCTGAGACAGCTGACAGAGTTCAGAGAGCTGCGGCTGATCTTCGAGCGTAAAGTGTTAAGTGCTGTTGGTGGGAAGAGAGATAACAGATTAATTCTCCAGACAGGACTCAACACCCTGCAGGGGGTGGGGGGTGGGGGGGGCACGTCGTGCAGCTATCAGGCGGCGTCACGCTCCTCGCTCCTTCGTATCAAAACCATCATGTTTGCGGAGACTGCCACGCAGATTTCACCAGGACGCGGATGGCACAATGAGCTATTTATATTCAGAGATGTAGACAGAGACACCTACAGGCTAGAGTCCTGAGGGAACCTTATGTGATCCTCAAGGGTGCCTTACAAAAATATATTTTGCAGGGATTTCATGGGATAGATCAATAGAAATCAAAATCAAGCAAGCTGGAAGGGAAATGACGCGTGTGTTTTCAAATCCCTTTGTTACTCGTGCATGCATGTGTATTCAAAACCCCTCTTTATATTCACACCCTGAAATAAAATCCACTTTAACTCTGAAGGATGTGTAGAGATCCAAAGCTGGGATTGGAAGAACATGCCACATTATTTGTAGAATGAGTAATTGTGACATGGAGACCAAATTATACGTATAAATATTTAAAACGTGGGAAGTATTTAAACTCTGCATTCCAGACTGAGATGCACAATGTATAGAGTGGATGAGTCAGTTAGTGGTAGGATTTAATGAGCACCTGCTTCTTCCTACTCCTTTTCAAAGTGAATAAGAAAGTTTTAGTTTTGTGTTTTGGTGTTGTTCCTGTGTTTATTTACGTATTATTTTTCTTCTCTGTTAGCATTAGTGTTTTTATACGTTCGAAATAAAGAATTCATCGACATCAAATCTGGCATTTATAGAAGAGACGCAAGAAGACGTATTGTTGGAAGAAAGCCGTGGAAAGTGGTTTGTCACAAGGTGGAAGAAGGTACTCTGATTAGACAAGACAGAATTTGAACCTCATAATCTAACGCCATTACTTTAGCCCTGAATCCACCATACCAGTAAATAAACATGGCAGTGGCTGCATCATGCTGTGGGGACACTTTTTTTTCCCAGCAGGGACAGGGAAGCTGAATTAATGGGAAGATGGATAAAGCAAAATAGGCTTGCTTCCAGCACGACGACTCTGAACGCACAGTCAGGCCTAGTCAAAGAAAAAAGAGCATAATTTAGAGTCTCCAGGTGAACAAATCTGGACGACAGATACCTTTAAAAAATTGCAGCTCTATGTTGGTTTGTTGTATGAAATTTCAATAAAATATGGTACATTTTGTGGTTCTAATGTCAGTGAATATGAAAAGGTTCAAAAGCTATGAATTCTTTTGCAAGACACTGTATGACTTCGGACATGGATGCCAACATGGACAGCCACCCATAAGCCGTGAAAGCAATAAGGAAGTGGAGATCTGAACCTTTAAGTGATGCAACTAACTTAAACCAAGTCATTATTTCTAATTTAAACTATTGAAGTTAGCAGGGAAAATAAGAAAAAAAGTTTTAACTTAAGATATCAAAAGCTATTTTTTTAAAACATTTATTAACAGCCTCGTTTATTTAATGTGCACTTTAGCACGATTTGAATACGTTGAGAACATTGCACAAATATTCAGTTTGTTTGTGATGTGGACCTTCGTTACCCACTAGATATAATTAATCTCCCTACTTCAACATAAACTAAAATGCTTTTTATTGTTCCTTTTTAGGTCGTAGTGCGACAATCTAAGAGCTGCTTACTCTCTTACTTACTCATTCACTTTGTTTCCAAAAAGAAGGCCTGCTGCTTGGCCAGTGAGAGACCATCAGGTTTCATAATCCAGCTGGAGGATTCTGGATGCCATAAGCGAGAAGCGAAGGAATCACGCCAGACGTTTTGGCAGTAGTTTCAGTCCCTTCTTTTTCTTTTTTTATAACCACGAGTGTCTTCATAAACCTCTGTGCAATTGTTTTGAATGCAACACAGATGGGCTTAGCATAACCTTTGTGCTGTTTTGTGTTTTTGCTTCAATAATCGCAGTAATTTTGCATCCATCTAGGGCAGGATGTAAACAACATAACTGAGAGAAGAAAATATAAAAAAAACAACAACAAACAAACAGACGATTACTTACAGGCATGCGTGACAGAGAAACTGTTCGAGGACTCCAAGTTGTCAACATTATAATTGAGGTGAAAAGGTTTTTCTGTCACATTCTGGTTGGTGTTGTAGAGCTGGACAGCGAACCTAAAGGCGCTGTGCTCCTGCACTGTGGAGCGCATGAACAGTCCACCTGCAGGAAACGTCACACAGAAAAGTGCCCTGTCAGATTTTAGAAAGAGCTTCTTTTTCTTTTTTCTTTTTCTTTATTAGCTAAATGTTCTGAAAACATTTCAGATCAAAGCTTCTCAATAAACATGTAGCCATAAACCTCTTGTATCAAACTGAATCCTTTGACATCACAAAATGATGGACCTGTGTGCTTTCAGAGCACGCGGTTGAGATTGTGGCGCTAAAGGGGCGTGGCTTAAAAATCACAGCATTCGCCCGGACCATGTGAAGATCTTCATGACCATCATGACTCACCATCCTCAGCGTTTAAGGGTTAGAAGGTTGAAAAACATTGAGATTAGTTTGTGCCTATTTACCAGTTGTTATAGTAACATTTGTAAAAGCTGTTATGATTTCACTACTGGCTCCATTGTCCCCTTAAAAATGCCTTATACTTGAGATTTGTATCCATCAGAACCATTATTAATTTACCTGAAGAACAGTAGTTTTTTTTTTTTTTCTAAATAAGCAAATGTGTTTGTTGAATAATGCTTTCAAAAATATGCCAATAATCAACCAATTAAATTTGTTAGTGTGTGCTTAGCTGGTTACACAAGGTTAGGATTCCTCAAACAATTGAAAATAGCTTATATTTTAATGTCAGGACGTAACTTAAGGTAAAATATTCTCCGCTGCTGATTCTAAGGCTGAAAAATATAATATACAGCAACAAACAATCTTTTGGCTGAATAAATAGCTGATAAAATTCATCTAATGGACACTTATTTGGACCACAAAAAGGGCAGAACATTCATAATTTTATCGAAATGTCTGAAAAATCATAACTATGTATCTACATGTACTTTAAAGAGTTCATCATTACCCGTCAGAATGAGTGGGCTGGGCGTAACACTGGCATAGAGTCGCTGATTGGTCTACGGTTGACTTCTGGTACAGCTTAACCAATCAGGGTT